AATGGACCACTGGGTGTTATACGCAAACAATGAATCATGGAACACTACATCAAAAACTAATGATGTAATGTATGGTGATTAACATAACAAAAAAATAGTGGCTCCTTGTAGCAGTAAGGTTTGTAATATGAGAAGAAATACATCCAAATAATCCAAATGGATGAAGAATTGGGTGGTCCAAACATTCATTGCATCTCCAGGGTTGCTCCTTTACAAGCAAATCCTAGAGAAGAACAGGTGCCTGGTTAACACCAGTATGTACACCCAGTTACAAAATCCTGGGGCTACCAGGAGGGGTGCAGTGTAATCCACTTGCACATAGCAGCTAATTTCACCCACAGCTGTTATGAAGCAAAACCTTTCCTGTAAATACTGGATGCATTTTATTGTGCACATCATTTCCCCTTGTATTCAGGGGACTGTGTCCTTTCTAGTCCACAGGAAGCTGACCTGGGCTTCCCCATGCATCTTCTTTAGGACCCAGGGATGTCTAAGGAGCTATGTCAGCATTTCAATCCTTTGCTTAGCCAACAATTTATTTTTGTTTCAAAACCTCATAATTTTAATTCCTCTACTAAATTCCCAAAGACATTTCCCTCATCTGAGTGCATCATACAGGTAGCTTTTTTTTCCTAAATGCCTGGAGCCCATTTTCCTGACAATACATGCAACTCTTGGCTACAGCTCCACAGACTAATATCTACATACTTCCCTAGGGACAGGAGCTTAACACTTTGTCCACTGCTAAATGAAGAACTTTCAACTCTACTCTCTGGGCCAACCTAACCTTGCTCTCTTTCATCAGGGCTTTGGTATCAACAGAGCCTGCTGCAAACTGACTTTCTAACAACAATATAGCCCTTAACTCAAGAACTCCTCACCCCATCCCACCCCACCCCCTCAAAAAAACTCCCATTGGAAATCCAGCTATCCTTCTTGCTCCAGACTACTCAGTAATGAGGTCAGGGATGTCCTTGCAATTCTACTTTCCACCCAACAAGTAGCAACACAGCTTATGTTGTGTGGGACTTCCCATGAACTTCTTTAGCTATAACACACCTAAAAATAAATTTCCACCCTATGAGTGAATGTTCCCATACTACCCATAGCATATTTGACAGTTTCTGGCATCATCCAGGGCACAACAGGAAACCATAGTTCGCCTGATGCTCTTCAGTGGAAAGGCTTGTTTTAATCAAACACCACCAAGAAACAAGCAGCTATTTTTCAAATACTCTGGGAGAAGAATCTGCCTCAATTAGTTTTCAAATGCAAAATGCCCGGTGATGGGTATTAAGGAGGCCACGTATTGCATGGAGCACTGGGTGTTATACACAAACAATGAATCATGGAACACTACATGTGTTAGTAGTCAGCATAATGATGACTGATGACTAACATAACATAATAAAAAAAATGCGAGACTACTTTGCAGAGAAATCCTCTGCAATTTCTGCCAAAGATTCCAGATGCAGCATCTCTATGATGACAGAAACTTCTATCATATAATCACATCCTATGGACTCATAGAGACTACCTGGGGCCAACTTTCAGTAAATCTACTAACAGTTCTTTCAGCTCAGGGTCTGCTGAAATTCAGTTAATTCTGGTGACTTTGTAAGAAGAGGCTAACAATATTTCTACATAACAACCATGATTTTGCCAAAACCCCAATAGTCCTAATAGTCTCTGACCTTCTTGCTTATTAGCATGATCTAAAAAACATGACAACGTGTTGCAAAGTTTGAGCAATATCTCTACTGCTCCAGCTGAAGGAATTCTCAGGAATTTGACAGATGGCACTTGACCTGGAATTTCATCCTCCCTCCAGGTGTTCTATGGATACTAAAGGATTTCCTTCTTTTGAGTTTATACCTCTGAGGAAAGAAAAATCACAACATGTGCTAATTCCCTAGTGGTCATTAACTCCAAATCCTGTCTAACTAAATTATGGCAACATGCTAATATACACACATTTCCCTGTGATGTACAGTAAACATACACTGAGACCTAGTCTATGAAAATTCAAAGTGTACAAGCGTGACTCAAACTATTATAGAAATGAAGATGTTAACTAAGTCTATTAAGGTATACCAATCCCTCTTGGCCCTTTGCAATTTCTACAATGCCTTTACGACAATGATCCCGCTCAAACAATCTGAACACACCTATTTAATCTTTAAAAGACTCCTTTACCTCTTATCCATTGGTAGACCAGAATCATTTTAAATAATAAAACAGATTTAGTGAGAATCAAATTTCAAACTCAATCATTTCCTTATCAGAGCATGAACATGTTGCTTTTCATGAATTGTGCACTGCTTAGTGTATTGCTGGTTAAGAAACACTCCCATGTAGCAAGTGTGTGAAAACCGGGCAGATGTCCACAGTGGAAAGGACAACACACCACTACTCGTTCATACACAATATCCATCCCATTATGCAGTCAGGTGTCGAAGCCCTCCAGCCAAAACCCACCAGGAGCCCAACTGTATGTAGGTTCGTCATCACTGCAGTGGGGGAGAGCATACACATGGGGAATGTGTCTCACAGACAGGTGTCTCAGCTTAAGGGTGTTAGAGAACACTTACACAGGATTGGGGCTTGTGTTAGGTGATTTGGGGGAGGTTGTAGGGAAGCAGGCCTCTGCCCTGGATTGGATGCTGTCAGGGAGCATGAATATGCTATGATTGAGGATCTTAACAAACCTTTTCTAGAAGGAGAAGAGACTGGAATGAGGCAATGCTGAGATAGGTAATGAAGCAGCATCACTCATTAACCAGGAAAAGGAGCTCTGTGCTGTTGTGGGTTGGGCACACTGACATTGCTTTTGTCTGTTTGGAAACAACACTGGGAAATGATCTTGCTCTTTGTATCCCTTCATCACAGTTACCGAGCGCCTTTGTCTCGGTCTTCTGTGACTTTCCATGTGTGCAATGGGAGAACTCCATTTCCTAGCCCTCACCCAGCTCAGACCCTAACACCTCCAAACCCAGCCGTGCAAGGCCAGTTCCCAGATGGCAAGGCTGCTTTCCTGCTTCTCACCTCCTAAGTCATTGCAGTTAAGAGAGTAAACATGGCTCAGTTGATAGTAGAGTTTGGTGGAATCCAAAATGGATATTGGTGCTTAGTAAATGCTGAGTAGTGCATTCAGGTGAGAGAAACATCTAGGCTCTAGTGATGGGCACAAGAAGTATGTCGTATGTTTAAAAATTAGGGACACATGTACAAAGTATAATTCACAGTCACACAGAAAGGACTAGATAAAATTCAAAGTATCTGTCACTGGGATTGACTGAATCATCGCACAACCACTCTCCCACCTCTTAAAAATATATGATTCTTAATGTTTTTCAATGTTTTTTTTTATTTGAAAACAGATAAACTGATTAGTGATAAGACAGAGATAGTAGATGTGTTAAGTGGCAGGATTAAATCAATTGAAGAGATATTGTGGCCAAGCCCAGCAGGATCAATTGCAAAAGGCCCAGGCTACCTTCATCTTAGTGCTTATAGAAACCTAGTTTAGTCTTAATCCTGTTGATGATGTCTGCAAGAGAATAAAATATATTGTCAAGAGGATTTCAAAAAAAGATGAAGAACGTGGCTAGCAAATGTCAAATGGCACTGAGTTCCATGGGTTCAAAGGAACATTACATGTTCATCTCTCCTCACCACCCACCAGAAGAAAAAAAAACAAACCCAAAAAAATGGGTTTTTGCAGCCCTAGACAGGAGCTTAGGGAAGCTGGAGTTTAGAGAGAACAGGAAGTAAACAAATATGCATAGTTTTCCTTCCTCCAGAGCACAAAGCAATCCAACCTTCTTCTCAAAAGGGATAAATACTCCTTCCCATCCCCCATAGGCTGACACTACACATCTTTGAGCAAGGTACCAAGCAATGGCCCCAACACTGAAAGACTATAAGCCATTTGAAAACTTTTCCTCAAGATTTGATTCAGTACAAATCCAATTTCTCCCATATGTGCAGGGGAAAGTTTCCATTTCTTCATCTTTACAGTTTACTCAGTAGAGTGACTCTGAGATTTAAATTACACTGATATGTGAATTGTATACCGAAATGCCTGGCATGTGTCCACACTCATCAAATTTTGTAATCCATGTTCCATGAGTGTGAACGACAGAAAAGATGAGCCAGGACTAGGAAGACTGTACTGTCTTGATCTGCAAGGAATGTCCAAATTCCCAGAAATATCCTGAACAATGCTCAAAAGTTTCTGTCTCAAGGAAGCCTCATTTTAAAGCTATTGCTATTTTTAGAAAAGTCTTTCAAGGAAACAGAAACTTGTCTGATGAAAAAAAAGAAAGAAAGAAAAAAACAGACATAAACAGTTACCTGGCCCCAAGGAGACACTCACTTTGGTCTTTCCAATGACATTTCTACTAAAGATGAATTTCCCTCTGACCTGCTAATGTTTACAGACCATGCAGGTATATTGGTTAAAAAAAAAAAAAAAAAAAAAGCTACAACCTCAGGCTCCTCTGAGATTTATCTGTTGACTTGATTTTAAAAGCCAAAAACTATTAGAGAATAATGAAAACAGATCTTTCTCAGAGCTGCTCCCTCCTGCCTCCAAAATAGAGTTTACTGGAACAGTAGAGAACCTAGGAATCCAGAAGCCCCAATAAGTAAGCATGTAGATGGTGCAGACTTACATCTTATAAGGTGAAATGAAGTAGTGGTGGCAGCAGCAGTGGTGTCCGCAGCAGTGGTGTCCGCAGCAGTGGTGTCCGCAACAGTGGTGGAATCAGGGGCACCTGAAGTTAGGAGGGAAAATCCAGCTGAAGCACTTGACTCTGCCTCAGGAAACAAAATTTGTCCTACCCAAGCTTGGAGGTACATTTCTCATTCTGAATTCATCTCTGTAAATGTTAATAATCCTGTCATACCTTTAGCCAGTCTACCCACTTTCCTTTAGCCTCATTCTTCGTAGCACTGCCTTGTGGCACTGAAAGAATTTGGGTTTCCCTACAAAGATGGTGACACTAAAGAAGACACAAGGACATACTTTCTTCCAGGGGTGAGCACAAAATACCAAATCCATATGTGTTCCTATTTGTTGGGATCAAGACTCAGAGGCAACAAGAAAACCCCCAGTGGACTTTCTGGTGCCCTCCCATGGGCTAACTTGAACTGATTAGTTTCCACGGCAGCATGCATGAGTGTGAGTAGTGGAGTAAACTGTACAGAAGAGAAGAAAGAATAAGATCATGTATCTATTAGAGTAATAGGATCTCCTTTCTTTGAATGAAGCACAATCTCTTTCCTCAGGTTCTGGCCTGAAACAGGATTATATTTGTCTTACCTGTTGTTCAACTTGGAATCCATCTATTACAGAATTATCTAGAAGAGCCACATTAGATGTAACAGGAGAAATTAATACTATTCTGGCAATGGTAAAAGTGAGCAAATGCCCCATCAATCATCCCTTGTTCAAAGGTAATGTGGCAAGATTGATGACCATTATCACTCTCTACACCTTACATCAGAACTCCTGACAGATAACCAGAGTCAGACCCTACATTTGTAAGTTGCATCTAACTCAACAAATGAATAACTCATTCTCCATAACCACACTCTAACCATGCTGTCTCTGTCCTCATTCAGAAAGAATATTGTTTTCCATTGGCCTTACATGGCAGGTAGGATATATGGTACAGTGATTGCAGTCTATGCCCTTATGACCAAAGGACACAGGTCCCCATCTGTGGAGGACAAAAAGAGAAATCTTCTTCATGTCTGCATGACCAAAATACACATGGCATTGGAATACAGGACACTGTGGGAGAAATCCAAAATATACCAGGGTCTTTGGTCCACAACTTGGATTTCAGATCATAGAAGGAAAACACAGGTCAGCCTAGGAATAAGGCATATATATCATTACAAAGAGGAAAGCTTAAGGCCATTCTTCTACTTCACCCCTACATTCCATAGTCTCCGTTCTACATTCCCATGTGCTCTTAATGCCCGCATTTCTACATCACCTTCAGCATCTACATTCTCTTCTGTCATCCTGAGATATTAACACCTATTTTCACACTTTGGCCATGTATTCAGCCGTTCAGTTTATGGTAATCACAAAGGCTTAACAACTCCCCAAATCCCCAGACTACAAATTCACACCACATATCCTTGTCATTTTTCATAGAGAACAATGTATATACTCCACACTTTATAAATCCATGCCAGAGTCTTTATATTATCTAATAATGCATAAGAAATCAACATATTTTCTACATTCACAATGAACATTAGAAACAGGAATGTGCTTCCCCAGCCTTCTGCTTTGGAATCTCTATACACTGGCTTCCATGGCTGCTTGACATGAAGCTGGAATGGAAAATAGTCATGACAGGAGGGAGATGAAGTGTAAGCGCAGACTTACCAGTGGAGCTACCAGAGGGAGTACTTGTTGTAGTCTCTGAAAGAGAAAAAGAAAAAAATAGATGTAAGTTGAACAGCACTATGGGGGGATAGATGGAAGAGACAATACGGACAATATTGCAAGCTTTCACAATTGAAGAACCTTAGGCTTTCCACACGTGTTGAAGGCAAAAAGATGCACAGATAATATGAAACCCACAAAATCCCACAAAAAAAAACATAATACATCTCCATTTTTGCTTTCCTGAAATCAACCTCTGATGTATGGTCCTGAACTAATATTGAGCAAAGACCTCACTGAATTGTCAGAGCCTAAAGGGAGAGTTGTCTCCATCTTGAGCAGTCAGTCAAAACAGGAATGGAACAGGGTATTGGAGTGGAGGACACAGGCGCCAGCATTCTAAGCCCCTCCAAACCCACATCCACACAGACCTTATATCATGATGTACTCTTGCTCCAGAGCTTATTTCATGTAAGAAGCTTTACTTACGGCCTGAGACCAGAAAGATGGAAACTGCCACCAGTACCAGCAACACCAAGACCTTCATGCTGGTGAATTGATTAACAAGAAGCACAGAGAGGAAAGCGTCAGAGCTCAGGAGAAGGTAGGATTCTGACTTCAGCAGTCCACATCCTGACATTATAAAGGCAGAGGGCACCAATCAGGAGCTGCCAGATCAGAATCCGGGCTAGTTAATGTCAGGAAATGTTGATACTCAGAGAAACCACTAGAGAGCCAACAGCACAGCCAGAGGCCTTTGGAAAGATCACTTTAGTCCCTTGATTCTGACATGGGCTTTAAGTCAAGAGTTTCACATATTTGAACATTTTCCAGAAAACAATTTTGCTTCCAGGCTTCCTCTCACCTTGTAGGGTAGACTGGCACTATGATTACCAGCTCTGCTGACAAGCTAGAGGAGCCGAATACCCAGACTTGGGGGTTTATTCAAACCTGCACCTCACCATCAGTTAGAATGGCTGTCAGCAACAAGGCAAGAGATAACAAGTGTTGGCAAGCTTGTGGAGAAAATAGAACCCCAGTACACTGTTGACTGGAATGTAAATTGCTGTACCACTGTGGAAACAAATATGAACATTCCACAAAAAACGATAAATTGATCTATCATGTGTTTCAGCAATCCCTCTTCTGAGTATATATCCAAAGAAAATGAAAACACAATGTCGAAGAGAAATCTGCCCTCCCATATTTATTTCAGCATTATTCAAAATAGCCAAAATGATGGAAACAACTACATGCCCATCAATGGGTAAATGGATAAGGAAGATGTCATATGTGTACATATACATAATATATTAATTTAGCCATGAGGAAGAAGGAGACCTGCCATTCCTTACAAGGATGGATCTTGAGCACATTATGCTAAGTCAGATAAATCACACAGAGAAACACAACTATTGCAAGGTATCACTTATATGTGGAATAAAAAAGCCAAACTCATGAAAACAGACATTAAAACTGTTGTTACCTGGGATAGAGTGTGGAGAGGCGGACAGATGTTGTTTAAATATACAAACTTACAATAAGGAGTGAAGGAAAACCCCAAAGATCACTTCCTTCCTTTGTGTGAGTCTCTGAGGCACAAAAGCCACTCTGCTTGCCAAGACATGTGGGGAGATCCTCAT